TGCAAGGCAAGCGCTCTACCACTGAGCCACCTTCCCAGCCCCTGTCCACCGTGCTTTCTAGAAGCCGGGTGTGGTCCTGCATGACTGCAGTCCCAGCACACTGGAGCCAGGCTGGAGGACCAGGGGCTCCAGGCCTGCCTGGGCCACTTGGGAGCAGCTAGGCGGCAGGAAGCTAGCAGCTAATGCTCCCTGGGCCAATCTTAGCATCAGGGCTCCTGACAGTGACCTGCGTAGCATGAGCATGGCTATAAACACACGGACCCTTTCTTGTTTCAAAGAAGGTAGTTATTACAGAGGCAGCACAGAAGTCATGGAATAGAGCTGTGGTGGGCATGCGCAGTCCCAGCTCCTTGTCAGGCGAGAGCACTGCCAATTGAGCTACATCTTCAGCCCTGTCCTCAGCTGAGGAGGCCGAGGCTAGAGGATTCTTTGAACCTATGAGTTCAAGACCAGGCTGGGCAGCCTGGTGAGACCTCCCTATCTGAATGAACGAAAATTACAATGTGGCATTACTTATACTAGTTGTGCCTCTGGAAAATAAGCTGGACAGATGACGAGTTTCCGCTTCCTCTGAAGAAGCCGGGTTTGTTCTAGAGTGAGAATTGAGACCACTGCCTCAAACCCAGCCATCAGACCCAGCCATCAGTTTGCAGGTAGCTGGACGGTGATCTCACAGGAGGTTCTGGAATTCCCACAGAGGGCTCCTTCAGGGGCAGGGGGTCAGCCTGCATTCCTGTCGCCTGCAGGGTGTCTGGGGACCGTGGGCCTTGCTCACGGAGGCTGGCTTTGCCAGCTGTGTCTCCGCTGGGATGGCCAGTAACGGTTTGGATAGCTGGTTTCAGGGACCGCACACCTTAAGTGAACTGACCTTTGGCCGCATACACTCACTTGGCTGCTTGGTGCCTAGCTGCTGCCCGCTTGGTGATAGTCTGGGAAGCATAATGCGCCAAACACCACTTGAGATTGAGATGGTTTCATGTGCTACTGCAACAAAATGCCTGAGGTAATCAACCATAAAAAAAGACAAGTTTAAGTTCCGCATGTTGGAGACCTCAGGACACGGCGAGGTGCACATCCCTTTTGGGCCTGTAGTGAGGCTGAACTCATGTCCCGGGGACCAGGAAAGGAAGCCAAAGGAGAACCTGGAGATCAGGGGGCCCATCGCAGTCCTTCAACAGCAACTCTCCCCCCGCCCCCCCCCCCCATGACCCAAGGCCTCCCTCTAGACCTCACCTCAGGCTGAGCTCAAGCCAGCTGCCCAACATGAGTGCCTGGGGGGGGCAAAGTCCCCCCCCCAACTGTAGCATGTGAGATGTACAGTGGATTATGGCAGATATAGTATTGTCAGGCAGGCCAGGAGTTCTTAATTTGTCCATTCTTACTACTTTTCTGTCGATGGATCAAAATGCCAGAGTTGTGGAGCCTTTATCATGCATTTTCTCTTCCTGTGGGAGTGGCTTTCCACAGTGTGTGCACATTTAATGTTCTTTTTTTTTTTTTTTTGGTTGGTCATGGGGCTTGAACTCTGGGCCTGGGTGCTATCCCTGAGCTCTTCAGCTCAAGTTCAGCACTCTACCACTGGAGCCACAGCACCACTTCTAGCATTTTCTGAGTAGTTCATTGGAGATGAGAATCTTCACAGACGTTCCTGTCCATGCTGGCTTTGAACCTCGATCCTCAGATCTCAGCCTCCTGTGTAGCTATGATTATAGGTGTGAGCCCCCAGCGCCTAGCTTTAACATTCACTTTAACAGTTGCTTCTTCCTTCTACCCCAGGATCTTATGGACTTCCTGAACCCAAATGGTAGCGACTGCACCCTGGTCTTGTTCTACACCCCCTGGTGCCGCTTCTCAGCCAGTTTGGCCCCTCATTTTAATTCTCTGCCCCGGGCATTTCCAACCCTTCACTTCTTGGCACTGGATGCGTCTCGGCACAGCAGGTATCCTTCCTTGGGGTTGGGTCTCCTCTTTTTTTTTTTTGGTCTGTTGTGGGGCTTGAACTCTGGGCCTGGGCGCTGTCCCTGAGCTCTTAGCTCAAGATGAACCCTCTACCACTTGAGCCACAGCGCCACTTCTGGTTTTCTGGTGGTTCACTGGAGATAAGAGTCTCAGGGAGTTTCCTGCCTGGGCTGGCTTTGAACCATGATCCTCAGATCACAGCCTCCTGAGTAGCTAGGATGATAGGTGTGAGGCACTGGCGCCCAGTTTCTCTGTTCTTATTTACATTTATTCTTTCTTCCATGTCCCATATAGACAGTTAATAAGTTAGTGGAGGGGCTGGGAAGGTGGCTCAGTGGCAGAGGGCTTGCCTTGTATGCATGAGGCCCTGGGTTCGATTCCTCAGCACCACATAAGCAAAAAGAAGGAAGCCAGAAGTGACGCTGTGGCTCAAGTGGTAGAGCGCTAGCCTTGAGCTGAAGAGCTGAGGGACAGCGCCCAGGCCCAGAGTTCAGGCCCCACGACCGGACCCCCTCCACCAAAAAAAAAAAAAAAAAGTTAGTGGATGATTTGGGCCCTAAAAGTGACATATACTCGTTTTGCACATCTTTTACACTGTTCACTGGGTTTTTGTCTTTTCTCTTTTTTTGGGAGGGTGGGGGAGGTGGGTAACAAGGGGAGTCTCACTGTGCTGCTCAGGTTGGCATTAAGAGCTGAGGCTCGGGTGCTCCTCCTGCCTCAGCACCCCAAGTAGCCACGACCCCATTAGTCCAGGACACCATGCCTGGCTTAACCCTTTCAAAGATCCACAGACATAAGTCACAGGGAACTTTGTTCAGATGTTTTGTATTGCCCTAACTATGATCTAAGACTGTTCTGCGTGCATGTCAGGTTCTATATTCCCTCGCCTCCGTTTACCCAATGAATTGCTAGCATAAGTCGATCTTCTTTGAAGGCTGGCTATTCTGGAGTTTGGCATTTCTTCTGTTAGGAGAATAGACACAGTGTGCTTTGATCATGAATTAAAATGTTCTGGCCTGAGTTGTTTTGACAGTTAGGAACTCAACACAGTGGAATACTTGGGTCACGAGTAACTCCATAAGAAATAAGGAAGGTCAGGAAAGCGAAGTGCTCAAAGTTTGACTATCAGAAAAGAAACCTCCATAGGTCACATGAAACCGATCCTTTCTCCTGATTTCCAGCCATTCTGACATGGTAATTGTAAGATATCTGTGGTCAACGTGCGTTTTCACGGACTTCTTTTACAGCCTTTCCACCAGATTTGGCACCGTGGCTGTCCCTAACATTTTGTTATTTCAAGGAGCTAAACCAATGGCTAGATTTAATCATACAGATCGAACGCTGGAAACGCTGAAAGTATTCATCTTTAATCAGACAGGTATGTATAAATAAATAATATGCTGAGAAGAAGATACAGAGTTGACTTTCTAAAAAGTACTGGGATTCGGGCTGGGAAGGTGGCTCAGTGGTAGAGCGCTTGCCTTGCATGCCTGGGGCCCTGGGTTCGATTCCTCAGCACCACATAAGCAGAAAAAGCTGGAAGTGGCGCTGTGGCTCAAGTGGTAGAGCGCTCGCCTTGAGCTGAAGAGCTGAGGGACAGTGCCCAGGCCCAGAGTTCAGGCCCCATGACCGACAAAAGAAAAGGAAAAAAAAAAAGAAAAAAGAAAGGACTGGGGCTTGACCTTCAGGGCCTTGTGTTTCCTACTCAGGAGCTCTATCACTCGATTCATGGTCCCATCCCTTTTTGTGCTGTTGTATGTAGATGGCTTCAGTTTCTGCCTAGGCCCTGGCACCTGAACTGTGATCCCCTTTATGCCTCCCACCATAATTTGGATGACAGGCATGCACTACCATGCCCAGCTATTGGTTGAGAAGGAGTCAGTGAAATTTCTGCCCCAGCTGACCTCAAACCACGATCCCCAGATCTCAGCCTCCTGAGTAGGATTATAGGCATGGCTAAAACTTTGTTGTCTTCAACCAGTTCCCATTCATGATGTCAGTTTATGTGTACAACGCATCTTGATTAGTCACCGCTTCCGTCATCCTTCGTGCTAAAAAACTGTTTCTAAACTGTTATGATCTTGTTAAATATCTCCTTGATAATGGCAAGTGTAATGTGATCAATACATTTTAACAAAATTCATATACCATGCACTTTACCCATAGGTACCTTTTTTTTTTTTTTTTT